AACCTTTGCTCAAAACTTGTACCTAATATGTTTTGCCATAGCGGTATCTGGTCATGGGTATTGTCAATGTACATTAATGTCTGGGACACACAATCAGGAGAATATATGTCTTCTATGTGACACTGTCCATTCAGAGTCGGGGATTGGCGCACAGGTGCCATTACAATAAGTTTATGTATGACATCATCATCTATTATATCTATATCGGTGAATCATCAATCAACTGTACAGTTTTTTCAAAAGTGTTCCCATGCATCGAGGTATAGGTGCCTGGGGATTTGGATCCGAGAAAACCCTCCTCCCACAGTTCATGGGAAGTCGGGAAAGTAGGCAGTTTGGAATAATATCTTGGCTTGAACGATGGTATAGAATCATTTTATTGTTATCGGTGGGTCATGCAACATTTTCAGGCACCACAAGGTCTGTCTTTGGAAGTGAAACGCACTAAGCTACTGCAGGAGATATTCCATGAGTCAGTGAGTTATCTCCTTCATGTTCAATCCTTTCTGATGGAATATGGATGTTAGAAGGACTTCTATCAAGTGTGACCTATCTTATTTATCAGTAGACATATTCTGACATTTGATTGTTCTATAGTTTAAAGGAACTTGAGAAACTCGGTCCCAACCTCAAGGGAATTGGTATGACTATTTGTTACACTAATTGGATAACACTCAAATGACCCCATGTTTCCTCAGACAGTTAAAGAAGTCTTACAGTCCCTTGTTGATGATGGCCTTGTCCAGGGTGACAAGATTGGTGCTTCAAACTGTATACTCCCAAACCTAGATATATGCATTTGATATGCGCAAGAACCTGGATGCTAACCATCTTTTTAAGTTTTCTGGAGCTTCCCTTCGCAAAGAGGAACTATTGTTGAACTGTTCACTTCTCAGGATGGTAGCTATACTGACCAGTGCATGCCATAGTTCCAAAATCGCCTGGACAATGTAAAAGAGACAAGAACTAGCTATGAGGCTCAGCTAGCTGAGATTTCAATTTTTTGGCATATTTTTACCAGCGCAACAATGTGGTGGGGAGTATAGTGAGTAACTCCCCCCACTCCACCTTACTTTATAGATTCTAGGGAAGACAATATGGTGGTGCATAAGTGCAAATTCATGAAGTTATAGATCTACATGAAATATCACGATGACCATGAGAATGCTGCGTGTTACATACATTCTACTGTCATAGGGCAATCAGCACAAGTAAGAACGAAACAGAAGAATACTTATAGCATTTAAAAGGTCATAGGCCTCCCAAATATTAGGTAAGGTGCACGGCTAGTGGGGTAGACATATAGCGTCGAGAGGGGTGGACTTGTAAGATAGCTTGTAGGTACACCGTGACAGATCTTGGCAGAACTCTGTGCAGTAGCCATTGTGAGTGATAGGAACACTATCACGATGATCTACCTGTGTATATGAGAGGGTAAGTGGAAGCTAAAAATCTCGAGGAAATGGAACAACTTTCGATCATTAGTGCTGTATACCTAACTGAGAATGACGAGGACCTGATCAAGAGAATGTGAATGTGAATATTAATAATGGGAAGGCAAGAAACTTAGCTTAGTGAGATCTTCGTGGCATCCAGGTTGCCTTGGATCCAGCTGCGAAAATATCATGGCAAAAAGCTTAGTATGCAAATGACAAGAAGCAAATAACACTTCCTTGATTTCATAACCGGCATAGCTCACCATAGCAGTTACCGTGCATGGCTCGTTAATCTATGCGATGAAGTGGGCTAGTCAGCATGCTTGGCAGCATGATACTTTAGACTACCCACCTAGACGATGCCATCTGACCGCAAGCGAGTTGTGTTGCTGTATGCAAAGATCATTTCTGGAAACCCCATGTGAAGTCGCAAGCAGGACCTGTCACTTGTAAGCAAAGTGTTGAATATGTATATGCAGGAGTACCTGTACGAGTTTGCTTGGTGTGGTGAACAAGTTTTGGCTAGGCTGTAGGTAAAAGCACCAAATTAAAATATATGAGTCTCCTGCTCTCCTAGCTGCTACTCTTCCAAGTCAAGGTAAGAAAACTATGTTCCAGGAGCTATCTGGTGAGCTGAGAAGCTACAACTAGGATAGCTACAACTAGGAAGGCTACAATTAGGGGATGCTACTGAATAACCCAAGTGAATGGGGAGCAACCAAAGAACTGGAAACAAGAAAACTAGGTAATGACTGTAGAGTCCTAGGTAAAGAGTGAAGTGATTATGTAAGCAGCAAAAGTGCGAACCTAATCTAAGGAAAGTGTCAATAAGACCTGCATAGTGAAAGTGCCTCTGCAAGGCTAGAGAAAGTTTGAACACCACATCGGATCAGTCGAGCCAGCCAAGCAAGACTGCAGATGCCAAGAACAAGGCTATGCGCGAGGCAGGCTTCATCATGCCCGCCACCTTCATGGAGATCCCTGTTACTCTGAAGAACACATACAAGGCGCAATCGTCCCCACTGAAGAAGTCGAGCCGCCTGTGATTCCCATGATTACACACGGCGCAGGAGCTGGGGCTCATTAGAAAGCTGGCTGTGTTTATTAGTATGATCTCTGACAAGCATTGACAGGAGCTACTCTCCTTGGGGGAGTCACCTCTCTCCTCTGGTTCAAATGCTGTCTTCCCTCCTGGGTGACCAAGTTCATCGAGATGGTGCTGATGCTCATTACAGACCACTGCAATATTGTTCAGTAACTGGTGCGCAGCTCAACACATAGAAATGGAATGTACATCATGGACCGCTGAAGTCTGATGGTGGCTCAACTGTGATCTTCGCAACCTCGGACAGAAGCAGATCTTTGAATCCAGATGACCAAAGTGAAGAGGAAACATATAGCCATGGCAATGCAGAACATTTTTGTCCTGCATACATGCCTATTAATCTTGCACTCCACCTACACACACAATATGCGCACCTTGATACTCAAAGCCACCTCAAATACTCTGCAAAACTGCATTTCAGACCTCCACCAACTTGTGGATGACATGGAAATTCTTCCCTCCTGTCTTGCTGATGATTCTCGGATACCCTTTGTACTTGTCTAGGTTTGCAGCAACATCTTTCTATAGCTTCTTGAACATAAAGGCGCTGCCTGTGCGGTGGAGTGCTACAAAGTTGGGGTGGGACATGTGCAATGGCCTATGGAGGTAGCCTTGGAACGAGCTGGATGACACTGGCTGGAATACTGACCTCTGCAAGAATCTGAAATTTATAAGGAGACATAAGTAGTCGAAGACTAAGAAATCAGATCAATAAGCACAGACGGAATAATTAGAAATGGGTGTTCAGAACCGTGCAAAAAACACACCTCAAACAGACATGAGTCACATGACAAACATGTTTAGGCCTGGAGTTAATGCATTTTTACACCAAAAAGTTGAAAGATGAGGTTTTTTGGAAGATGACACTGGCAAAACCCACTAAGTACTGCTGTAGCAGGAATTATGATATGTGAGTACAGTTTGATTCTTCCTGAGCTCTGGCTGGCCTGACACTAGACATAAAAATGATTCAGCTTCTTGCACACCACCATGCTTTCACACCCATACTCCAGTTCAAGTTCTGACCATCTTTGATGGAAATATCATATTGGTGTCTTTGACAGCTGGATATATGTCTTCTGATAGGGTATTTTTTGTATCCTGCATTATGGTGATGCTAATCATACAGATTGGTAGGACTGGCTGATTCTTTGCATTCAGAAGTAACTGGCCCTTTTCACCATCACTTACTTTACCCCTTAAATGACCCTAGTTTAGGGTTCGGAATGCAATGGCTGGCATTCCAAACCCTAGAGTAGGTTCTATTGTCATGTGAGTGCCTTGCAGCATTGGTGCATCTGGATGAATCTAATCAGTTCTTCCATTCATGGGAAGTGTTTTAGCTAATGCACTAACCTGGTCCTGCATGGCCTCCAGCTTAGACCCCTTAGTCTGTGTCTGATTTATTAACATAATGATCAGTTAGATTCAAAGGCCCAGATGCTGAGCTTCATATATTGGAAGAGGTTATGGGATGACATCTAGTGAGTTGATATCTTGTCTGTTTCAGTCATATTGGCTGACTTTTTATTGATGGTCAGTCTTATGGTAGGTTTACTTTGTGATTACGTCTGTGCATGCTATTCATATGGTGATTTTCCATCCTTTCAAGTTTCACCTTATTCCAGAACTCGTCAAACTCAAATTTGCCTGCCCCTCTCAAATACAACCTTCCCACAGATGAAAATTTCTCTCTGTCTACACATTCCAATCCACTCAAACCCCTCTTGTTCATACTTGATTTACATTCCATGCATACTATATACCACCGCATAAGTCCGTATAATGTCCAGCACCATACTATTTACTTTGTCCACTGCCAATGTCATGTACAGTATACGGTTCACTATCTTATCCTATAGCACATTCACTCTGGAAACGACTTTTTAGTCGGACACTAAATGGAGGAAGAAACCAGGTCTAAACAGACTAAAAATGTACTTAGACACAAACCGAACTGCTGTGGGGTTTGCCGTGACATTCCAAACTTTGACCTGTGCACTATAACTACTAAGTAAACATACAACTTGCTTGTGCCCGCGACGACCGCATCAACTGGGACACCCGTGACACCCGTGACCCTCACAACAAATCAGTGCATAGTCATATGTCAGTCAAATGTCAGTAGCCAATATTCCATCATTCCAAATGAGGCCGATTTTCACCATTATCGATGGCTTGAGCAATCTGTATCATCTCACGTCACTCAGTGTTTCCCTCATCCTCAACTTGAAAGATTATGAACTAGTACTGACTATTGGTAGGAAACAATGGTTAATTTTGTCAGTCGATGCCTTCCAATACCCCATGTGCAAAGCTGACAGGGACAACAGGGCTTGATCCGGCACATCTATAACTACCATTAGCCTGCTAATGCAGTGCCCTCTACATGTACCCACGCAGATTCCCAACCATCAGCAGGCGTGCCTGTGTCTCTAAATGCACCTAGTGCATCACCCACCCCCATCACACCAACACTGTCCATTCAGAACTCTTCAGCCACTGCAGGGACTATGCCAACATCTTACCATTTGTCCCCATCCTCATATGTTGTCATCAGTTTTCCGTCAAGCCCACTACCCCCTTCAGCTCTCGATCTGCAAAGACTCAGTGAGGCACATGCCAATAGATTCGAGACTGTGCAGCTCAGTCCAAACACCTGATCCAACACGCTTGCCACCCACCCATTCCCAGCAGCCTAGTCAGTCATTGGTACTAATGGGCGAGAAGTTCTGGCCACCACCACACAAATCTACAATACAGCTCCTCATCAGCCTTCCTCGCCTCAAGGACATCCAGCATTTGCCTATTGGACATTATCTACAGCAGCAGCAAAGTCAAGTGTCGTCAACAGGTGGCTATACTGTCAAGTATTGCGGTGATATGACCACAGTCCAGCAAGCACAGGTCGCCCATTGGATATTTGATAACATTGAAGAGGTGCAAGAGACTGTGGTGCAATGGTTAGGCTGTGCGGCATTTGCTCACGCACTCAGTATTATGCTCGCATGCAACAAGCGCAGCATATTGGAGGCAGATACCGACTACCCCAGAGATGGCACTGCGGACACACAGGAAGAATTCATTCTCAAAGCCGCATGGCCAACCCTTTTAAACTAGACTGGCAAAAGCACAGACATGATCCACACAGATGTTGACCTGGAATGTCTGTCGGTCTTCAAACAGTGTCTGTTCGAGAAGTTGGCTCAGTCAGGCTCTGCAGGACACTATCAGTGGGGCCTGGATGCTGGGAACCATCAAGATGGTTGGGACCCATATGCTGGGCACCAATCCCACTGGAACCATGAGAATCGTAATGAAGGAGATCCCGGTTATGATGAAGACAAGCTTGAGGTACTATGCTTTCCGACTTTCGAAATGGTTCTAGTTAATGATCAGGCCAGGTTTAAGTGACAGCGACATTAATGTCGAGCAACATATGTCATCACCTCAGAAGCAACAGGTAACAAAATCCCATGGAGGACCAAGAAAGTGAGGAAAGGTGGCACTGACCGCATCTTGAAATGATGCCCACAACTGCACAGTTGCTCACTTAGAAGAAATAAAAATAGTATTGTATATGCAGGAATAAGATTACAATGCAATATGAAAGATTGTTTGGGGACAAGGAAGATAGTTGTTGAAATGATATATGGGAGAACTGACTTGCAGACCATAAGTACTTGTGATGATACCGTCTGACCGTAACTTTGTGAGCGTGATTATAATAATGAGGAGTGGGTGCATGCTTGACTTGACCATGGTTCGTTTGGAGGACAAGGATTGGGAGGTTCCAGTGACTAGCAGTGAGTGTAGTTGATGCGCACTCACTATTTTGGAGCAGCGCAGCATTTTCCACGATGCACAAAGCAGATGTGTCGATGGTTTTGGTGAAGCAACAAATGTAAATAGTCTTTTCAGACTTCACAAACACATCTTTGCCGACCGTGGTTTATTCTCTTCAAACACTCATTATCCCACCACTAGCCAGATCTGTAAATCCATCCTTTCAACCTCTTTTTACAGTAGACTTGGGCGAAGGTGAGTATTTTGAAAATTCCTCTGAGTCATTGTTTCATGCTATCATGATGGCAGAACGCAACACAATAAAGCTCAAGCTACCTGCGCAACTGAAAGCTTTCAAATTCACTTGCAGGTGCAAAGCTTCTCGATCTTCTTTTCTGCCGCATCAAGACGCTCTAAGACTTTTGAAGGCATGCGTTCATTATCATATATTACTGACATAAATATAGGTACTTATTTATCCTTCATTGGCTCAAGCAGGTCAAGAAAGATGAGACTACTGTCAGGTTCTGTGTCTATGTCACTTTTTCTCACCTCTAGTAGCACACTGAGCTTACTCTTTGTGTAGTCTTACTCTTGTGAAGTTGTTCAGTTGCTTCAAGTTGTATTTGCAGTTATTGATTCAAATCTTTATTTCAGGTTTCCTTGAACATCTAGGTGAAGAATACAGTCAGGGTAGTCATTAATGGTACCTTGCATTGAGTATGTTCACACTGCCTATTGTTTTACAAGGTATGTCAGTGTGCTTGCGTAACACTGCCATGACACACCCTAACTAAATGATTTCAGTTCAAAAATGTGGAGTATTCAGATAAAGAAAATCTGAACTCTGTGAACAAGTGGTAAGGACTTCATTACGCCTTACCCTACTTATATTGTTGAACTAATGTATAATCAATACAGACCCATACATTAGGGTTTGGAATTCATGCTGCGGCATTCCAAACTGTAGACTGTGATTACAGATGCAGAAAAGAACCCTAAAATTTTTCAACATGGTATGCATGTCTTAGATTCATCCAACTACATTGCAGCCCACTGATATTGTATTTCACTCGCAGGCCATACTACCAACTCTGATAGATGAGACTTGAAGACACTAAATCGGTGTGAATAACAGTGACTTCTTGAGACTCTGACTCACTCACACCTCACAGCTCAAACTCAGAGGCCAGTGACACTGATGTGGTGCCAGCGGACAATCCCTTGCTGCAGGATGAGCTAAACCCTAATCCCATGTAGTAAAAAGAATAGGCAGAGGCAGATGAGGTATGGTTCAGACAGGATAGTGGTGAACCCATTTCTGCTCAAGCTAAGAGCACTCACTTAGTGAATATGAATCTACACTAGATATTGTCAAAGCCACAGTCAGATATTGATGTGGAAGAAGTCCTAAACCTTAGAAGGATGCTGTTGAACTCTTTGAGAAACTCTACCTGTGATGCTGAACATGCGCAATGTAGATTGGGCCTCATCCATCTGTCAGAGCACTCCAAGGGATAGGACTAGACCACTCTAACCTTACCATCAAATCTTCACCTCTGGTATCTCTGGATCACAGCTTGGTGTCACAGTTCTTGAATCTTCAGAGCCATTACAAATACTGACTGGCTTGCTGTCTGACATTGACAATGGCTTTGATCCAGCTGCAGAGCCTCAGCCTGAGCCATCTCAATCTGCCTCTGGTAAGTTTTAGTACTTCACATTTTGTGTCTTTAGTTCATCATCCTTCCAGGGGCTGCCGCCGTTGCATTGCCATTGATGGAAAAAACTCAGCACCTCTGTTGCCATTATAGACTTTGAATTCCTTGCCCCTCACGCTTAAAGTTTATTGTTATTGTTACAATGTTATATGCATCCTTCACCAGCAGTTTCTTCCTTTCTTACAAGTTTATTGTTATTGTACAATGTTATACGCATCCTTCACCAGCAGTTTCTTCCTTTCTTTGTTATTGTTACAATGTTAGACCATCTTCGGCTGCTTGGTCACCTAGAATGAAAGAATATTGAAATACTGGGTTCAGTTGTAAATTTTGGCATACCTTTGTAGATGTTGCAGAGGCTGCCCTCTGCATTTTCTAAACAAGATGATATTTGAGATGATTGGCCATATCATCATGTCATTCACATGCCTTTGAAGTGTTCACCGTTTGTTTCTGCTTCTCCCCTGCATTACAAACACAGGTGGGGTCATTAGAAGAATTGAATCTTGCAACAGATTGGACACCGGCAGCAGTGATCTGTACTGAAGTGCCCCATTGTGTCATATCATCTGTGCTTCAACTCTGCATGGTGCAATAAAAATCTTTCTGACCCCTCCAGAAAATTTCAACCAGTCCAGCCGCCCTTCAGTTAGAGATAGTCAGAAAGTATTCAGATATTAGTATGTGTGAAATAATAGGCTTACTTGGAAAAGTTTACCCTGATGTTGTACTCACCCCAGAAAAAGGAACCACCAGGAATGCAATAATGATCAGCTTGGGGATGAAATTGAAAGGGGCCTCTAACATTTCATCCTTAGATACCCACCACATCCCATATGTGATTGGGATGTGATCACAATCAGTGTGGAGGTAGTTTGCAAAATCATTGTGAGTTAAGGTAAGGGAATTAGTGAAAGGTCGTTGAGGTGTTGTTCCTTGGTCAAAAGATACCATATCAAAGGAATACCGCCTTTATTGATATTGTAAAAATATTGACAATCGTCCAGGAAAATATATGACTTACTCCATAGATTCAGATACAATTTGGTGTCCAGCATGTGGAAGTAAAGTGAACAACCGATCACAATACTCTTGAGCAACACTGGGTAGTTTTGTGAGACAAGTATTGTAGCTGCAATGAGATATTAGTTTGTAGTCACACATAGTAATGGAATTTACATTTTTTTCTTTTCCAGGTTTGGTAGCATACAATACAACATCAGTTGCGGGGTCATATGACCTATGCCACCCAATGGCCGCCATGATACCATACTGATTTGGCTTGCCAGTTGCAGAGACCTTGATATGTCAGTCACCATAGAGTTTAGGTCCTTTCAAAGCCTACAATTGATAATATTAGTCTGAAATTTTTAGAAAATATATAAATACCATGTCTTGCTCTTGCTTCGCCAGCCATCCTTCACTTCTTTAACAAATGCTAACAGTACCTGACAATAATAATATGCGATGGAAGTGTATGTATCCTGAGTGGTATCCAGTGGTGGATGCTCCATTAGTTATATGGCAATCATTTGATATACGCGCAGATGATGAATAAGGAGCCACAACACATCGTAGTATTGATGTGGAACATTGCACTATGGTTTTACATCTTATAGAACACTCAGAGTGATCAACATGATCACATACCGATTCCTCATCAATAGTCATTTGGAGTGCATGTTTAGCTTGATCAACATTCAATGTGATGGATTTGGTGATAACCTCATGTGTCACTGCCCAATCATGTGACTTGATGCTCAGAACAATGGGATGTTTAGTAGAATATGTGGATGGATTCATGGTGGATGAATAGAAGTAATGTGCCACTTGGTGAAAGACTTTGTTAACGGTCACACCTGTGAGTCCTTGGCATCAATGGCATGTAATTGTCCTTATTTGCATCTAGTCACATGATAGACTCTTTCAAGCAACATTGTATTATTTCATTGATAAATTTGTCACTGGCAGAGGCAACTTCATTATGATCATGTGTATCAACAAAGAACATGATTAAACAAGCATTGTTGATGTTAAGGTTGGCATTTACCAGTGTTTTCCACAGATTGTACAGTACATTTGAGGTATGTACTCCAAAGCACCAAATATGGAAGTTTCACATTCTTTCACATCCATGATCAACCTAAGAGATTTTGACAAATACATAGAGTCTTCTGCATCAGTGCTGGTGCAAGCATCCATACTAGCTTCCTTGCAAGCCCCTGCACCAGCTCCTGCAAAGGTTCACACACTAACTTCAGTCAGAACTGTCTAAACTGTTGGATTAGCTGCTGCACTAGCTCTCACAATGGCTTCAGTCCAATCTGTTACATCAGCTTCCTCGCAGGCTCACTGACCACCTGCCTCCCAAGCTTGCACACCAGCTTCAGTGCAGGCTATCCCATCAGCTGCCTCTCAAGCTCACACACCAGCTTCCATACAGCAAACTAGCACATCAGCTCCCACACAAACTCACACAGAAGTGTCCAAGAAATCTCATTCTACATCTGTAACTGAAGCTCGTTCACAATCTCTTCAACAGGCACCCATACAAAAATCTGGGAGACCACGACGAAAGGCAGCTATAGAAGGGGAGCTTCAGCAAAAGAAATCAGATGCAAAGTCCTTCAATTCACCATATCAAATGTTGACTCCAATTTTGAGCAAGGGAGATGATGGTGTTGATATGGAGATTGACGTGGAATGTCCTGTTACACCTGTGTGCGAGTCTACTGATATGAAGGATCCTGTCTTGGTACGTAATATAGTGTTCATGATTGGTATACATTGACCTTTATATCAGCATTACATGTACTGCCAAGACATCGGGACATACATTTGAAAGTGCACAAATCTGGCTTGTGGACTATTGGCTTGCGTTGCAAAGGCACAAGGCAATCATGGGTGCATTGATGCAACCCCAGATGAACTGACAAAGGTCGTCAGTGTAGATGCCAGCACATTTTGCTATCCGCAATGTTATTGTGCAGCTGAAACACCACTCCCAGTCTGTGGTCTGTTCCTCCTCAATACCTTCAATATACTGACAATGAATGACACAAGTGCAAGATTCATGGATATTCAGTGAGACAGGAATTTACTTTCCGCAATTGCTATCCCCTCCTTACCATATTCCTGTCATGGAGTGGCTTTAGACATGAATATGCTTCAGATATCATCCAGCAGACACTAATGGAACATTTCCATTGTGTCCCCAGCAGGGTAAGTTATTTGACACAAATATCATATTTGGATCTCAGACTTCTGCCCTTAGTTGCATATAGCATTGCGGAAATTGAAAGCTGGAAAACTGATTTCTGCCTAGCTGCTACATAACTATCTGGGTGATAACCTTCGGTTGGACGCACAACACATTGGGAAAATCAACACCACCTCAAGCACCGGACCATTCATGCGCGGGATTGTGATTTCCTCCTGTGATTCTTCCAGGAGAATAACAGAGAGTGTTTGCCAGGGCTCACACATGGTCTTCCACACTGATGGAAAGCAGTTCTATGGGCGAAAGTGGCTGCAAACATGCATGAAGACAAGATGCTTGAGCTGTGGGAGAGAAGTGTGAGAGCATACAAGCTCCGACATGGATACACATCAATGTGATGGTGAAAACCTTGGGCGTGTCTGGTACAATTGGCCTCTCAGCATTTCTCAGTGAAGTGGAGATTGGAATCACACATTGATGTTTGTTAAAGTAGGGGCAAACGACAGTGGCACCACTCAACCTTCTGTACCTGTATGTCTCATTTTGTATCAGTCATATAGACAATCATGTCGTTTATATCATGCATTCATTCTCACAATGGTGATTTTTCACATGTGTAATGAGCACACTCTCATCATTGAAGTCAATGGGAAAGCACAATATCAAAATATATGACCAGAAATTGAATGATAATGTGATGTAATATTCGAGCATGATAAAAACATACACAGGCAGTTTGCGAGATTTGTCAGCATGTGCTATGTGTTTTGAGATGTTAATGAAAAAGTTTGTTGCTTAACTAATTCATTTACTCAACATTGTTTTAGTACAATCAAATACAGCTTCATACAAAGTTATATAGAACTTGTAGCATGTGTGATGTTGTGACAGTTGTATAAAGGTAGCATTGTAAGCAATGGATGCGTGGCATGGGAAGGTCACGTGATGGTTCAAGTGGTTGATTGTTGATTTTGTTCTCTCCTTCCTTCTTCTCTCACTCTCTCATTGTACTCTTCTCAACCTGTTTTGCCTTGTTGTAGCTCCTTGTTGGAGCTCTGAGCTGTTGCTCGGACAAGGCATTCTTGGTTATTTTATGTGTTGTGCACCTTGTTAGGTCTCTGTCTGTTGTGACAATCATACATTTGTTCTCTCCAAGAACTCTATCTTCCTCTTCCCACCTGTTTGCCTTGTTGTAGCTCCTTGTTGGAGCTCTAAGCTGTTGCTCGGACAAGACATTCTTGGTTATTTTATGTGTTATGCACCTTGTTAGGTCTCTGCCTGTGTGACAGTCGCACACTTGTTCTCTCCAAGAACTCTATCTTCCTCTTCCCACCTGTTTGCCTTGTTGAAGCTCCTTGTTGGAGCTCTGAGCTGTTGCTTGGACAAAGGCATTCTTGGTTATTTTATGTGTTGTGTACCTTGTTAGGTCTCCGTCTGTTGTAACAGTCACACACTTGTTCTCTCCAATAACTCTCTCATCCTCTTCCCACCTGTTTGTTTTGTTATAGCTCCTTGTTGGAGCTCTGAGCTGTTGCTTGGATGAGACATTCTTGATCATTTTATGTGTTGTGTGCCTTGTCGGGCATTTGTCTGTAGTGACAGTTGTATGTTGGTTCTCTCCTGCAACTCTCTCATTGTCTTCCCACCTGGTTCCTTGTTGAGGTCTCGAGCAGTTGCTCTAACAATGATGATTACTGTTGGTATGTGGTGCTCATCGTCTGACACCATGTTCTATGTGATATCATGTGAGTCAAGCCATTATGAGTGTATATCCTTCAACATAGTCCCACATGAGTTCTCTTGGATCACTCTCCTATTATCTCCGTATCCTGTTCCCATTGTTGTAATTCATTGTGGTGGCTCCAAGCTGTTATTCCAACAATGAACTCCTACAGCCTTTGACTTATTGTGTCGCTTTACATGGTAGGTCCATAAGCTATTTCACTGATAAAGTGACCTTGGTGAATTCAATTTGAGTGGTCATAGCCTTCATGGTTATATCTCCATTCTCAACTTCAACGCCTTGTAGAATATTGAGTCTACCTCATTAACCTACATCTTCCTGTATTATCCATTGTGCCTCCATTTATGAATCAAGTGTGTATTGAAAACAGATCGCATTCCATGTAGGGAACATCATTTGAATATTGGAAACCTTCAATACACACTTGATTCATAAATGGAGGCACAATGGATAATACAGGAGGAGGATCATTATCTTGTACAGCAACAGCTAATGCATATTGTTGATTCATCATACCAAGATCCTTGCAGGACAATTTGACCATGTCACCAGATTCTTGCAGGGAATTTGCATCACATTGAATGGCACAATCAACATGCACCTTGGCCATACTGAGACTACCAGCAGCACATTGAAAGAATTCTGCTAGTGCTTTGTCACTTGCCTGGAATCATGTGCACCTTGCTTATAAATGTTGACATTCCATACATCTCACTATATTCTGCATAGATGACTTAATTGTCAGACCTGAATTCCAAGGCATGGGTAAGGGGAGTGTCTTCATCTAGTCCATAGCGCTCTCATATCCTTACAACAATGTATACAATAAGCCACCAGGAAAGATCACTGTGGAGGCATGGTATGTCCATTGTCCTAATAGCCTGCTGGCGGTACAACCACTTGAATGCATGTGGAAACTTGCAACTGTACATCAGTTGTAATTAACTGACAATAAAAGCACACACCAGCCTCAGGACTGACTCTAGATATCCAGCAGATTTAGTTGGTTTAATAGTACCATCTGGACCATTACAATCTCCTTTTGACTTTACAGTTTGGATCAGCTCTACATGCTCACCCAGTGACTAGAGGATTAATATTGATATGAACCTCCCAATTGCATTCATGCATGATCAGTGTGTTTGGAACATACCAGAGTATCTGGGATTGTAATATATTTGACATTCATCATATTAGCAAGGACCATTGGGGTGGATTCCACAGGACTAGATACTGCATTCAAATTGTCATCCACTAACTCCACTGAGTGATTGATATTGCACTGCTACTGGGATTATGCATGTCATCATGGAATAGGCAACAGATCGCAAGTGAGCATACCATGACATCTACTGATAATATTGGTTGTCTATCCATATCAATGTCATGACTGGCATCCTGGCTGGCCAATTGCTGAATCTTGAGACCTGTATCCATAGAAGAATCTACTGCATCCAGCAGATACTGGATGTTCTCCTCATACACAGAACCCTGAAATGACCCTACAAAAATTGTGTTCCCGACAGGTATTTACATGATAGGAGCCCCAATCAACTTCTTCACTAGTCAGACAATGAATGTTATATATGGATGGCAACTGACACAGTGGTATGATATCCTTGCCCTCTCGGTTCTTGATAGAGATCACAATTGTTGCAGTGAGACTGCATTGCTCTTTGTGGATTCTGTGATGAGAAATAGAATGTAAATTAACCTTATACTGAGGTTGATACTGCGAATGCACACATCCTTTCTATTCTTCACAAATGTGATATTAATATTCCATCAATGGTAGAGAGCCTTGGGTGGGATTTGAAGTCATGAGAGGTCACCTACATTGTAACTAAGAATCATGGCTTGATATGACATAGCATGAAATGTAAGTAGGCAATAAAATCAAAGACATGTACCCTCCATACATGTCATATCCACAAATGATTTGTGGTCACTGAGCACTAGCTCATAGTCACCCATAGATTGAGCAAGGCTGTGCCAGATAGGTCAGAATACTACAAATGATGCAAATAACGAAGAATCACACTTTACTCCCACATCTTCCAGGTCTACCTTTCTGTAAAACCACTGAATCTCTAGCCAGACATCCTTGATGAGATTGTGTTAGTAGGTAGATACTCTTCATGCAATTTATACACTCACATGGTTTAAATAGATTTTCATGACTTTTCTATACCAATAAGACATGATGGATAGGCTACCATCTTTATCCAGTACTACCCTTGAATCATCAGGAAAATTTGTGATACTGAAGTGAGCAGGGTCAGTATGTTGACATCTGGATGTATCTTCATATCGTATAACTCATCATCCTTGTTGTATACCCCTGTAGAAAATATAAGGTTGATTAGTCTCAAGGCATTGGTCATAAGTCATTGGCTTAAAGCTGGATACATACATTCAATGGATCTACAAGTCCATAGTTGATGCATCTTTGGGGTATTGTCATTCATTGGGGGGAAGATCTTGACAATCAACATGTGAGGCAGAGCTGGTGATTGACAGACAATGAGACATTGTGTCATATCCCGTACTCTGGACCTACATCCGATGATGTTCCCATGCCTTCCAGACACCTTCCAGATGCACATCTGGACTACCATACCCTTATCCATGCCTTAGTCCTCCAGTCCACTATTGGTTCAGATCCGTACACCTTCGTACATCCATATATCCATACCTCCAGACCTCCGCAGCTAAGCCTGCTTCATCCACCCTTGGTCCTATCGGATCTGAGCTCATTCCATCTCAGACTCTACCTTTCCTAGACTACCGGTCTATATCCATGATTTTATCCTAGTTCCGTCTTTACCTAGATCTCCGGATCCACTCATTCAATATCCAGATGCCTCATCCAATATCTCTAGACCTCCGGATCTGACCTATACTCATATCCTGAAGCTCAAACCTTAAATCAGTGTCTATCTCCTTATGGTAATCCCCTTGACTCCAGACTTTGGTTATCTGTGTTCCTGTCTTGCTTATTGATCCTTGTACTCTGTTCATCTCTGAGTTCATTTACTTATGTTCCGTTCATACTTACCAATATGTTTCCACATGCTCATACATAGCATTTGTGTTCAGCTTACTGATCCTCTCGGAGCCCTCCAGTATATAACCTCTGTACAACTCCTGTAAAGTTTCCTTAGTCAAAAATATACATAGACTTCACTCATTCAAACATAGATTTGCTCTCTTCACTCATTCTCGGTCTTGGACTTGGATCCATCTTAGTCTACCTTTCCTTATGCCTATGGAAATATCACATATACTCACGTCATGCAACTAGATTTGCTCTCTTCACTCATTCTCTCGTCTTGGACATTGTCCATCTTAGTCCCTGACCTTTTCCTTGGCCTAGGAGGATTCCCTAGGCCTGACTTTCTGGCCCTTCTGATTATCCTTCCATCTCCATCCATGCTTTAGGATTGAGTCCCTAAGCTGTAGTTTTTGCTTTCCAGCACTCTTCCCTGTCTTCTGAGACTTCTGTCTACTTACCTGTCAACTCCGTTCTCTACTTAAGTTATCCTACCTCTGGTATTTGTTTCTACTACTGCGGACCCTTGTCCATAGTAGCCTTTCTCTCCTGTTCTAATCCTGGTCCACTTCCTCTGGTCCTCCTAACCTTCCGGAACATCTTAACCTTCGGTACCTCCAGAACGTCCTATCCTTCGGACCACCCCTCCTATCCTATCCTGCTTTGGACTCTGTCCCTTGCAGTCTCTCCTCTATGTGTTTCCATCTAAGAAGCTTACCATTGGAAGTCCTTCAGCACTCCACCAGAGTAGCCAGCCTCCGGAAGTCCTTTGGACTTCATCAGGACTTCCATCTGGACTTCATTCTGAAATTAAGAGCATGTACTTGGGTAAGGGGCACAGCGTACGAGCTGAGGCCAAGCCCTTCGGATCCATTAACCCTTGAGCTACAGTCTTAACACATTGATAGAGTGAAATGACAGTGTGAAAACCAACTATGGCCTATCAAGGTCTGGAACTACAACACTAGGAACGAGTGCAGGTGGTGGAAGGAGTGTACCTGGGGGATGTGAGTTGAGAAATTGAGCTGGTTGTTTTGTCAAAAAAAAAACAGTTTCATGGTAGACAACAAAAGAGAATAGAAAGGTTTCACCTCTCTATGTGCGCTGTGAACCTTTTGGTATTGCAATCACACCAAGCATACCTTCCATATGAGTCACCTGCTCCACTCACTCCAATATCCTTATGTGGGTGTATCACATTGGTTTCTTTGTCTATGTGGAACAGCACAAACTTGTTGCATGGCTCCATACAGTGCTGGCACATCATTAACACCATTTCCAGTAACTGCAACTGTATTGTCTCCGCAAGCTTTGATCTCCTCTACAATTCATATTCTCTAGTCAGGGGTAGTGCACACAAATACGATCTCTGTGTAGACCCCAGCGATGACATTCCAATCAAACAAGATGAGAGATGTGACGTCTTCCCCTGTAAGTACCAGGGAGCAGATTAGGATCATCATTGGATGGCTTGGTAAGACAATAATCTTAACAAGATGCTGGATAATGATACTGACCTAAAAAGGAGGTTAATAGGGATTTTATGGCAGCAGAAAATAAAGAAAAGCTACCTAGCATGCAATAGCTAGAGCAGCGAGCTTAAAATCACCAGTGACCATAAAGACTTAAACCCCAGCTTGTTGAAATGATAGAAATCGATGGCAATACATCTGGGCGAGGAGGATCGCAAATTCCAATTAGACCAATCAAGGTTAAATCACACATCTTCATGTGCATGAGATTTTCCACATTGTTTGGTGTAAGTGTTAAGACCATAGCTCAAGGGTAGACGGATCCGAAGGGCTTGGCCTCAGCTCGTGCGCTGTGCCCCTTACCCGAGTACATGCTCTGAATTTCAGAATGAAGTCCAGATGGAATCCGACAAAGTCCGAAGGACTTCCAGAGGCTGGCTACTCTAGTAGAGTGCTAGAGAACTTCTGGATGAGTGCGAGAAAATTCCGGAGGAGTTTCATCCATTGTATCAGATCTGAAGGTAAGACTTCCCAAGGTAAGTTCCCTAGATAGAAACATACAGTGGCTCAAAAAAACTGTCCGCATGTTTTGACATTTTTCACTATCTATGATATTGTGTGAGAATGAACAAATTCCTCAAGGACATACTTATACCACATTGTAGTATGGCTTCAGGGCTTTTATTTGAGCCCTACACCGTGGGAATCGGCGGAGATATGGTGGAGATATAAGGCTTATAAAATGATGACTCATGTGGACAGTTTTTTGAGTGTATATTAAAACTATATAAATCATTATTTATGACACCATAAAAATCATGCCACTATTATATAAATTATAAAGTGGTGTCATTATGTTATTTTATGACTATATCTAACTATATAAACCAGAATATCTCATGTATCATAGTCATAATCACCATGAAAGCCATCTCCTCTGCTCAAAGAGATAATATCCTCTCTCTGTCTTATGCTGGCCTCTCTGCTCGCCAAATTTCCTCTAGAACTGGAATATGCAAGTCCACTGTGGCCAAGTTCATCAAAGAAAGCCACCCAGACAAGGAAAACTCTTGTGGAGGACGTCCATCCAAGCTTACCTCTACTGACAAAAGGGCTATTATCCAACATATCACTACAGGAAAGGCTGATAATGCTGTCCAAGCCACCCATTATATCAATTCCACCATCACTACCCCTGTCTCTTCACAAACTGTGAGGAATGTTCTCAAGGCAGCTCATCTCAAGGCAGTAACAAAGAAGAAAAAGCCTCTTCTCTCCATCAAACATAGGCAGAGAAGACTAGCCTTTGCCTTAGCTCATCAACACTGGACTGTAGAGGACTGGAAGCATGTTATATGGTCAGATGAGACCAAAATCAATAGGATTGGGTCAGATGGGAAGGTGTATGTATGGAAAAAGAAGGGAGATGGCCTAACAGACAGAGAGGTTAATGGGACTGTCAAGTTTGGAGGAGGTTCTTTAATGGTATGGGGCTGTATGGGATGGAATGGTGTGGGAATGCTTGCTGAGGTTGAGGGGAAGATGAATGCTGAGCAGTATGTGGACATTTTAAATGACCACTTGCTGCCTAGCTTGGCAGAATCAGGGATTGATGAAGAAGATATCATTTTCCAACAGGATAATGATCCCAAGCACACATCCAGAAGAGCTAGGGAATGGTTTGAAGAACATAACATCAATGTTCTTGACTGGCCAGCACAGTCTCCTGATGTCAATGTCATTGAACATCTCTGGGGAACACTCAAGAAAAAGCTTCAAGCCTATGAAAACCCCCCTAAAGGAGTATGGGAGCTTTGGGAGAGAGTAGCAGTGGAATGGGGGAAGATCACAGCTGAGGATTGCCAGAAATTAATTGAGAGTATGCCTAGAAGGATAGAGGCAGTAATTAAAGCCAAGGGAGGTCATACAAAATACTAGAATACCTGGTTATTACTGTAAAATACTTGAGTCAAAAAACTGTCCGCATGAGTCACCATTTTGTGAGCCTTGTATCTCCACCATATCTCCACCGATTCCCACGGTGTAGGGCTCAAATGAAAGCCCTGAAGCCATACTACAATGTGGTATAAGCATGTTTTTGAGGCATTTGTTTGTTCTCACACAATATTATAGATAGTGAAAAATGCCAAAACATACGGACGGTTTTTTGAGCCACTGTATAGAGGATAGGCTGCAAGGGACAAAGTCCAAAGCAGGATAGGATAGGAGGAGTGGTCCGAAGGACAGGACATCCGGAGGTCCGAAGGTTAAGACGTCTGAAGGGTCCGTTGTCCGAAGGTTGCGTCGTCCGAAGGTTACGACATCCGAAGGTTACGGCATCCAAAGATTACGACGTCCGAAGGTCCGAAGGTTTACGAGGACCAGAGGAGCGGACAGGATTAGGACAGGAGGGGAAAGGCTACTATGGACAAGGTCCAGAGTAGAAACAAACAGAGGTAGACTACACTATGGTAGAGTCAGATAGATGGGGTTTAGACAGAAGTCTCGGAAAGACAGGAAGTGCCGGAAAGGCAAAACTTCGGTCTAGGGAATCAATCCCTAGACTTCAGAACAGAGACATAGGGGACAAATCCAAAGGTCCGGATTTCCAGCCTAGGGAATCCATCCCTAGGCCTTGATGGAAAGGCAGAATTCAGATGGACCAAAGTCCAAGACAAGAATGAGTAAAGTTTAAGATGCAAGGGAGCAAGTCTATGTTGATATTCGAACTAAGGAAACTTTACAGGAGTTGTACAGAGATTTATATACTGGAAGGGATCCGAGAGGATCAGTAAGCTGAACACAAATGCTATGTATGAGCATGTGGAAACATATTAGTAAGTATGAACGGAACATAAGTAAATGAACTCGGAGATGAACAGAGTACAAGGATCAATAAGCAAGACGGAAACACAGATAACCGGAGTCCGGAGTCAAGGGGATTACCATAAGGAGATAGACGCTGATTTAAGGTTTGAGCTTCAGATATGAGTATAGCTCAGATCCGGAGGTCTAGAGATATTGGATGAGGCATCTGGATATTGGATGAGCGGATCCGGAGATCTAGGTGAAGACGAGACTAGGATATGCATCATGGATATAGACCGGTAGTCTAGGAAAGGTAGAGTCCGAGATGGAATGAGCTCGGATCCGATAGGACCAAGGGTGGATCAAACAGGCTTAGCTGCGGAAGTCCGAAGGTATTGATATATGGATGTACGAAGGTGTACGGATCCAAACCAATAGTGGACTGGAGGACTGAAGGCATGGATAAGGGTATGGAGTCATGGATAAGGGTATGGAGGTCCGGATGTGCATCCGGAAGGTGTGGGAACATCATCGGACGAAGGTCTGGAATACGGGATATGACAGTAAGTCCAATCTTTATTTCTTCTATCAGTTTCCTACATCTATGACCTTGGCAATGATATCAGATGTTAGGGTACCAAGTCAAAATTGCTCATACTCACAGCATGAGTACTCATTGGCCTCAGCTTGACCAATCCTCTTGAAGTGTGGCGAACATCTGTCTCCCCATACAGGGCCATACTTGTTAACTTGGCAACCGTCCCATCACTCTGTAGCGCACTGCTGCAGGAAGGGACCAAAACATCAGGAGCTCCCTTGATGAACATCCATGTGGATTCCACATTCTTTTCAGCAGTACTGATCCTGGAGACCATGGAAAGCATCTATTTATTGCTGGAATTGAAAGGGATCTCAAACTTCTTCTCATAATCTTGCTGAATGTCATATACCATATTCCCGGGTACAGATCCGAAGATCCGGATCTCAGATCTGATCCAGATCCGATGGACATATCCGTCGTCCGGTCCACAGATCCGATCTAATCCTTATTTCATGTCCTGTTCATATAACTCTAACTATTGTTCATCTCCTTTCGACATTCCTGTACACCGGTATACCGGTTATCCTTTACTTCCGTTATGCTTACTGATCCGCTACACTTACTGATCCGCTTTAACTTATACTTCATTCCCGGTGAAGGATCTTCAACTCAGCTGAGGGTGCAGCTGATATAATTGTTGAAGGGAGGAAAATATGAGTGCGATATGTTCGTCCCTTAGGGGAAGCGGAGAAAGCAAATATCCACTGGTCAACTCTAGGGGGAATGCGCAAAGCGCGTGATAAGGCGAAAGCGCGGGAACAAAGGCGCTATAGGCGCGCGAAGCGCGGGAAAGTCGCGCGTCGAAAAGCGGAACTGGGTGAAAAGTGGTATGCGAGCGATAGTGAGATGTTAAGACATGTACTGAGATGCTGATAAGACAACTGATGCGGATATGGCCACTAGAGCTAACTGCTACTAGGGCTTGCGATGATTTATTCAAAACATAATAAAAACTCGGAGATGGTGACTGTCTATGATGATGGTGGTCCGTGGTAATGTGTGTTGTGTAAAGTAAAAAAATGTGTAATGAAAAATGTGTACCAAGTGAAAATAAACATGGTACGATGTTGAAATAAATGATAAATGGAGAAATGCATACCTGGGAACTTGGTTGGACATGGGAAAACACAGTGGGAAGTCAGGCGCCCTATAGCGCTTAGGCGCGGGAAAATTCGCCTAAAGCGCGCGCAAGTCACGCAAGTGTCGCCTATGTCGCGCGCGTCGTGCGAACGTCGCGTTTATCGCGCAAGTGTCGTGTTACATGCATGATACTGTAGACTTGACCTATGTTGCAATATGTGCCATTGTGAGGCTACCCAGGATCGAGTCTCTACACCGGTTATGATTCATTATCCATCCGACTTACCGATATGCTGTGCACATACTTTGCTTATACTTCGTACATAGCCTCACGTCCTTGCTTATTGATCATTCCGTTAGTTATCCATAGTATATAAACCCTTGTACATGCGCTGTAGTAGATCAGTTCGAATATCATCTTAGATTGCACTCATTCTGTCTGGACTCTAAAGTCCCTCTGTTATCTGTCCGGACTTGAGTACGATACTCTTGTCTACTCCGAGACTTAGGATTGACTCCTATAGTCTATATATCCATCTCTGTCTTTGGACAGTCTTCCCTGTTAGTTTCTAGTTCGGATCTGATCTGGATTAGCCGTTACTCTATACATTCAATATCCAGAAGACTTAACGGATCTGTTACGATACTTATCCGTCTCACTAGACGCGATACTCTAGCACTCTGAAATAAGGGGCAAGACTCGGGAAAGGGGCACAGCGCACGAGCTGAGGCCAAAGCCCTTCGGATCCGATACTACTTGAGTACGGTCTTAACACTGAAGAGTACTGGCATCCACACCAAGCTCCGGTATAGCAAGGGCATTGGAGAAACACAAAAAAGCAGTGTCAGTCAGATCGCCCTTGATCATATGATCATGCATAGGAAGGTGGTTAGTGGTTGTGTCAAATTTCGCGCCGTTGCAAAGCCTTGTGATCTAATGGAGTGTGCCTTGAATACAGAAAATATGGCAGGGTTTTATGCCTTCATAACCCTCTTGTTAATTTCTTCGACACCAATATGTTATTGAGGAAGGCAATATTCTCTATCATCTGTGGGTCCATCAGCAAGCCAGTAACAAGAGCAGATACATTGTCCATCTTGCCATCTTTCCCACGGTCAATGTGCCTCTCTTGTCAGAACGTAGCATGGACATGCATCCTAACATCTCAATGGTCGCCATATTTTTGACCAACACCTGACCAATCAGCGGGTTAGATTGTGCTACAGATTGCTACAGAGTGCTCTGTAGCGCCCTGTAACAAATATGTTTTCCTGATGTGACATTTAGCCATGCGGCGGGCAACAACAGTTAACGAGAGTCCTACGCAAATTGGGAGGCATCAACTAAGGCATCAACTAAGAAGGGAATACAGACTTTCACTACTGGTCACCTACTTGGGGAATGAAAGCAATCAAGCAGCCAATTGAATTTATGATGGCAGAAGATGGGGTGTTATACCCAGGATACGATGTCCATAACCAAACACTGTATAGAAGCAGAAGAAAAAGAATGTGATATATGAAACAATTTTGGTGAAAAACCACATTTCTCTTTAGATAGTGGTAAGCTTGAACTTTGTTTCTCCCAACATCTTGACAAGGCAGCCCATAACAGTCCTACCTCCTGTGATGAACACAACTCCATGGCAAGTCCCTTGTATGACAAAAGTGGAAGTCAGTGTGAGATTACAAGTCTCCAGAGCATTCTTGGATGTTGCATCAAGAGCTCCCGGTACTGTTTCACTGCAATTGGACTTCAGCCAAATTCAAGCATGAAGGACAAGGAACAGACCTTTCACCCATCAGAAGAGAGCAATAAAAGCAACGGTTGGATGATGCCTGCACAATATGCATATTGGCTGGGACACGGTCACCAGCATTGAGCACAGCAACATCACCGACTACAATGTCAGTAGCTTCGATTATTTGCTGTTTTCCGTCCCTAATGACTGCAGCCTCATGCACACTTAGAGATTGTATTGACTTCATGATTCTGTTCGCGTTCCAATCAACTAAAGCACAGAATGTAGCAGAAATGACGATGAGAATGATCTGTAGTTGATGAGAAGGGGGAGAATTGAGCACTGGAGTTGAAAGTCATGAACCAACAGTACAGCAACACCAAGAGTAAAAGGTACAGGAGACCCAAGTGGTTCATATGAGAGCAAACATGTATATTAGAAAGTCACCTGTGGCGGGTGAACAACACTCATGATAGTCAAGATGAATAAGATCCACATGAGAAAATCAAAGCCACCAAAAATATAATTGAACATTTCTTCCAGTAGACAGTAGGTGGAGGACTAATGATATTCTTACCATCACACTCCCTGTGATGAACATCAGCAAGCTCCAAACCGACCATGGGATAACTGGAATACCAGGGTATATACTTTGTTGACACTCAGTAAATGGGCATCTATGTCTCCAATTGCATCCACTGGGTCTGGCGAGGATTTGGAGGTTGTCTGTTTCTCTTCGATGTGACCTGATAATGTACAGTGTAGAGACTCGCATTTCTGCAGGCCTGATATGGGGCTCATATTACAAATTCCGACAACTGGCCTTTATTGCATGACTTGCACCATCATCCACATCCGACTTCTACTATGTCTCTAGCCATTCTGCACATCACGCGCAACTTTCCTGCGAAACGCAGCCATAGGCTGCGATACTTTCCCGCACAATGTGCAGCATTCCCACGCTGCACACCTTGCACTTCGCACTTAGCCTGCGTCGCACATCATCCAGGAGCATCCATTCATCGTCCAGCCAGTTCCTTGGTATGTCCCTTTTCATTATCTGACTATATATGGCATATTACACTTCCTATTTCGTCATGGACCCATTACTTTACATCACTTACATACTTAGAGCACTCCCAATTCAGCTCCGAGCCCTGGGAAAGTGCTTAGGTAGAACTTACATACTCTCATGTTCGTTTTACACATCAGCTTCCTACCACTCAGTATCTTTCTACCACCATGTACTTGGCAGTTAGTTCCATGCAATGCATGTATCCATCAGTTGCCTATAGCTAGTGGCACAATCAGTATCCATCTAGATCTGCACTTTTCCTCTTATCAGTTCAGTATACGTCTTCTACACTTGTGCACTGCTTGCACTACCTTCCACACTTCGCTTTCCCGCGCGCGCCTTCAGCGCATTTCTCACACTTTCACCACCATTTACCAGGGTTGATCAGCATCATTCTGTGGATCCTTGCTTTCTTTGCTTCCCCTTTAGGGTCGAATGTTCTTGCATTCTGCGAGTATAGCAGCTAGGCAGAGCTGAGACTCACTTATATGGTAGGAGCACTTTATTCCATTCTGTGCCTGCCAGGTTGTGATTGCCACAACAGTATCTGTTCGTTGTTAGGTCAGTGATATACCGCTGTAGAGACTCGCGTTTCTGCAGGCTCATATGGGCCAAATTCACGCCTTTTTATGATGCACTCGATATCCTTGCAACGCGCTTCTCATATGACTTCCACGCAACGCACACTTTGGTGCGTACCAGCGCGTTCGAGTGCATTCAAGCGCGTTGCGGTGCACTTCGTCGCATTTCCTTAGGATCCGTCGCCTGTCCTCCGCATGTCCTGTCCTAGTCCTCCAAGGTCCATTGGTGCGTTTTCCCTTCATCAGAACTCATACTCCATCACGCAGACACTAGTACTTATCATCATATTTCGTTATGGACCCTGACTTACCTCACCATTTACCTTAGTACTCCCTATTCGGCTCTGAGCTGTGGGAACTCGCTTAGTGTACCTACACGTCACCATGTTCGTTTTCCTGTCACTTACTTCTGCTCCACTACCATCCAAGTGTATAGCTCAAGTTTCTATCTGAATACACCTGTTTCCCTCCTATTGGCGCTTTGACACCTTTAAGTGTCTACTTCCACATCTATCAAAGTCCTGATTCCCCCATTTGATTGCCACCTCTACTCAAAGCACTCCGTTGTAATCGCACAAAGTGCGCTTTGACATTGAAGCGCGCCTTTCCGCACTTTCCGCCTTATTAGCGCATTTAGGCGCCTTTAGCTAGCGCTCTTCACTTTTGGGTGCATTACTTGCCTCAGTGTCCCATTCAGGCTTCGAGACCGAACCACTGGTTATAGATCCCCCTCACCTTTCACTAGAGGAATCTTTCTCAGTCGCAATCCCCTTGGGACGACTTTCCACTCATATCCAGAGGAGCACTTGAGAGCCCACTTTCCACTCTTCCCCCTAGCACGCAGCTATCATTCCTCGCCCTCACCCGCGTGGGAGGTAGAGATGCAAACAGAATACAAACATGATTGGAATTCCATAACCATTGCCAGACCCGGGCTCAGGAGCTGATGGTGTCAAAGCAACGTGCATGAAGATCTTGCTTCTTCTTGTTATATATCACCTACCATCCTCAAGGCAATGCCTTGCTAGACCCGAGAATTCTTTAGTTTTCACCAAAGTGCTTTTGCCATTCCAAGTAATGCACATGGAAAACCTATCATGTGGGCATTGTCAGTGATCTAACATTGAAGATCTAAATCATTACCAGTTGCCAAGCCTCCAATTCCCGACTCCACTGGAACTTTTACCTACAACCTTCTGGCCATTGTCAACCACCGTTAGTTCAGAATGTCCAGCGTCTTCCATTTGTCCATTAGAAATTGTTAGTGGTCCAGGCCTGATCCCTGAGGAACAAAAATGATAACCTATGCTCTCCAGAGGAGACAACGAGAGTGAGACAGACACGTCATCTAGTATAATCACAATAGAAAACCCATCAAATGAAATACAACCCGTGAACAGAAGATAACACGAGAAGAAGCAGGAGCGATGATGAGACGTGAGAAGTGGAAGCGATGATGAGATTCACCAGTACAAATACTGTGGGATGATAGTGGGGATAATAAAGTGTGCCATGATAATCAGGATCTCAAAGAAAGAGAGTGGAGAAGGTACTTCAAGTCAAGGTAAGAAAACTATGTTCCAGGAGCTATCTGGTGAGCCGAGAAGCTACAACTAGGAAAGCTACAACTAGGGGATGCTACTGAATAACCCAAGTGAATGGGGAGCAATGTCATATACCATATACCCGGATACAGATCTGAAGATCTGGATCTCAGATCCGATCCAGATCCGATGGACATATCTGACGTCCGGGTCCACAGATCCGATCTGATTCTTATTTCATGTCCTGTTCATATAACTCTAACTATTGTTCATCTCCTTTCGGCATTCCTGTACACCGGTATACCGGTTATCCTTTACTTCCGTTATGCTTACTGATCCGCTACACTTACTGATCCGCTTTAACTTATACTTCATTCCCGGTTATGATTCATTATCCATCCGACTTACCGATATGCTGTGCACATACTTTGCTTATACTTCGTACATAGCCTCGTGTCCTTGCTTATTGATCATTCCGTTAGTTATCCATAGTATATAAACCCTTGTACATGCGCTTGTAGTAGATCAGTTCGAATATCATCTTAGATTGCACTCATTCTGTCTGGACTCTAAGTCCCTCCATTATCTGTCCGGACTTGAGTATGATACTCTTGTCTACTCCGAGACTTAGGATTGATTCCTATAGTCTATATATCCGTCTCTGTCTTCAGACAGTCCTCGCCCGTTAGTTTCTAGTTCGGATCCGATCCGGGTTAGCCGTTACTCTATACATTCAATATCCAGAAGACTTAACGGATCTGTTACGATACTTATCCGTCTCACTAGACGCGATACTCTAGCACTCTGAAATAAGGGGCAAGACTCGGGAAAGGGGCACAGCGCACGAGCTGAGGCCAAAGCCCTTCGGATCCGATACTACTTGAGTACGGTCTTAACACCTACACGACAACCTGAGGCTCTTGTGCCCACCAGTGGTGGCGCCAGTGGCCCTAGAGCATTTTGCAAGTGGCTATCGTGCCAACTGGTGGTGGCGCCCAGGCCACACAAGAGGTGGAAAAGAATATTAAGGGGCATGATATTAATAAATGGTAGAGAGGCTGGGTCTCTTGGACCATTTTTCCGTGACATAGAAAGTGGGTCTCATAGACCCTTTATAGGTACCAAAAAGTGCTGCCTGAGGGAGTGCGAAGTGCTCCTTTGGCTTCCTGTGCTGAAGGCACAGTGAGTATTTAGGATGAAGCCAAGGCCAGGAAGCTAAAAAGGAGCGCAAAGCGCTCCTTTTGCTTCCTGTGCCAAAGGCACAATGGGTGTTGGACTAGTTAACTATGGCTCTGGAGTGCGCCATGTTACTAACAAATGTTACAAATCAACCGCAAATTATTCACCGAGCCCTATGGCACTAAGTAAGGGTAGCGGTCTGGTAGATTCGATGAACATCACATGCATGTGACCAAGTGTGACACTGTGCAGACAAGTATCTCAAAAGTATGCCAAACTCATGCCAAAGCATGGTAAGTAGATTGAAGAATTTGGTATGATGAAGTTAAAGCATATTAAAAGCACAATGCAGCAACAAGTATTAAATGAGTTAAAAACACTAGCAGAGAATGTGTATTGTGTGAATTAATGTGTGGACAGGAGGGGATGACAATCAAACTCGAAGGCTATCTGAAGGAAAGTAGATGCACCTCGGGCCTCTATGTCTGCAGGAATAGCATTCAAGCAAAGACCTGCAATAGGGGTCCCAAAAAACATAGTTGCCATGCCCTGCTTCACTGATCAGTGTCAAAATTACATTTGAAAGGATAGTAAGTCACTCACATTTGAGTTTTCGTCCTGCTCAATGTTCAATGTATTTTTTTTTGTTAGATTCCCTATGAGCCCATGCTATTACCCAGGTTGTCTCTCAAGCATTTCTGCTTGCGTGTTCTGTTGCCCATGGGTCTTTTTAGTAGGCGGGAGGATGGCAGCGGCTTCGCGGCGCATTGCATCGGAGTATCATGCATGGTACTTTGCCGCCAACCTCTGCTTTCAATAATCTAAGAAATTGGAATTAAAAACTTTCCACTTCACTTCTCTTCATTCT